CTGGAAAAGGACTGTCTGCCCCATGGCTGGCACTGCCCAGCTGGCAGAAGCAGGGTCTGTCTGCCCTGGCTAGGGCAGGGGCAGGGAGAGTCATTGGTTGCTGGAACAGTTTGAGTTGGAAGTGACCTTAAAAACCATCTAATTCCAACCCCCTGCCATGGGCAGAGACACCTTCCACTAGCCCAGGTTGCTCCAAGCTCCATCCAACCTGGCCTGGGACACTTCCAAGAAGTGGCAGGGTCACCAGTGCCACCCACACAGCCCCACAGTGCCCACCCTGACTCCCATGGAATCTTGGAGATGAGCTGTGGCTGCAGAGATGCTTCTTCCAGCAACACCCAAACTCCCCAGCTGGCAGCTGAGAAGCAGAAGAAACTTAGGGCTCTGAGGAACCTTCCTTCTCCTCTTGGCTTACCTATGGAACAGAGCTGGCACCAGGCTCATGCCCTGGCACAGACAGAGCACCCTGATTCCACTCTGAGGTTGGAGAGCCTATGGCACAGGGTCGGATGGGCAGGAGTGGGTAGATGGTCATGGTTCAGCCTTCACTGCCTGGGCAGGATTCTGTGTGGAAAAGCAACAGCCCCTTAACATAGGAACAAAGCAGCATTACAGGAGACAGATAATCAATGGCTGCAGGATGATTGTTAATTATTTTCAGTGCACTTTCTATTCTGTTAATGAGAACACTTTGCCGTGCTGGGGAGCTGTGCCAGGGGAGGTGAGTGATCACTGCTCTGAGCTGACAGCAGGGTGCAGTGCACCTCCAGGGTGGCTCCACGGGGCAGATCAGGCTGTGTTCACTGCAAACACTGCCAAGGACAAACTCTGCTGCACTTTGCCCCGGCTGGACTGAGAACCTTTGCTCTGCTTCATGCTGGGATTGTGGTGTCCTCGTGTTACTTGGGTGCAGCTTTGGGGAATAGCCCCACAGTGCAGGGGTGCACAGTGCTGCCCAGGCAGAGCTGGGGTGCTGCTGCCTCGTGCCCACAGGGTGCTCAGGGTGGCTCAGGGCCAAAGAGGCAAAGGAGTTTGTGGGAAAAGCTGTATGGAGACACATAGTGGGTAGGCTGGTTGGGACTGCATGGTGTGAAGAGGCTGCACTCACCCCACAGTTGGCTCAGGCACATCCTGAGTATCCCAATTTTCTACAGTGCTGCAGATGGAAGGTGCCTTCTTCAGCC